CTATATATATATATATATATATATATATATATATATATATTTTATAAACGAAATTATCTTTTTGTCATCGTGTTTAAAGAGAAACATGACAACGATGAATGAGAAATAATTCCGTAGAGCGAAGCGAAAAGAAGATCTTTTAAATAATTGTATGTGGAGAAGTTGAGAGATGACTTGATATACTTTTTGTGGTTTAATTTAGAAACAATCTTGCAAGAATATGTTTGATAGTTACCTCTCTACAAAATAAACATTTACAATGAAATAACGTATCTTAATAGGTCACGATTGTATAATTAAATAATTTTATCAGCATCATGAAGTAAAATGTATTTATGGAATAGCTGGAAATTAACCTAATTGAAAGTTATTCCTTTTTTTATTTTTGCACAGTGACGGTAATATAAGTGGCGCAACTTTTGGCTAAAATATTATCCACGGTTGAATAAGGAGAAGTTACGATCTTCATGTGTTTTATTGTTATTTTTAATAAAATGATTAACCAAGTTATGAAATATTTTCGCATAATAGTACATTAATAATCATTAACTGTAAGATGGTTTCAGGATAAATGTATAATTTGTAATTAAATTTCAGAACATTGTGCTTTAATTATTTTGAAATATGAAAATGTTTTAAATCGAAGATAAGTAAAAAATGTACAAGTAGTATGAAGGAATAAAAAAAAATTCGATATTATATTCGATAATATGTTAAAGAAAAAAAACTGTTAAATTTGACGGGGAAAATGCCATGCGAGCCGTAAGAAGCAAAATTTAAAATTTGCTTTTATTGAATAATTAGAAATAAAACGAAATGAAATGTATTCTTTTTTACAAAAGTATCCTAGTTGTAATATAAGCTGTGAGTTAATAGAATTAACTATTAGTTAAGCTATTACACTCCGTTTAATTAACTGCCTGTTTTCAAGATCAAATTTTGTTTAGAAAAAAATATGATCCGCATTTATATGTTATATTGTGTTATTCTTAATAAAATTATCACTCAAATAATATAAAGTTTTCGCATAATAGTACAATAATATTCATTAGCAAGAAGAGAGGTGAATTATCTAATACTTAACTGAAATTCAAAATGCTGCGTGCTATTTATTTTCTAAATAAGGGAACATAATACGTAAAAACGGGTTTTTAAAATAGGTGAGTACAAGGTGAAGTATATGATACTTAACTAAAATGGAAAATGTTGTGTTCGGGTTTTTTTAAGAATAATATGCATATAAATACTTTGAATTGTATGCGTTTTAATTCATCACATTAATAAGACAAGTAAATAAGAAATGTAGCGATTTTAAACTATTTTAAGAATATCGCATTGTTTTATGGTTTTTATTGCTCTAAAAATAAAAGAATTTTTATGAGGAACCCCAATCACGAAACTAATTTTTTTTCTCTGTATTTAAATTTCTTATGTTTATTAAATTTTTAAAAAAATTGAGTCGAAACTATTAATTATTCTGAAATATTTTTGCCGTATTACATAAATTTATGAAATTTTATGAAGAAAAATATGAAGGTTAACTAAAATAGATGAATGTGGAAAGTTGAGAATTTTATTTTGGATACGTATTTTTCATTAAATATTTTTCTTTTATCAATTTAAAAATAAATAATTAACATTGTCATGCTTCCAAACATTTTAACACTGGTAATTGTATTACGTTATGAAGATGTGTGTAGAGTGATTAAAAAAACATTGTTAATTGTCCAAATATTTTTAAATTGTTAACTTTATATTACTTTAAAAAGAGTGATGTGTAAAAACATCGTTGCATTTCAATCATGTTAATTATTTCACAATTATAAAAGAGTTTACAAAGTAATAAATAGTCATTTTAGTAGGTAAAATTGCCTTAAAATTGTTGATTTTTGAGTATCAGATAAACTCTACTAAATAATATACAGACTTTCTAAAGGCCATATCACACTTAAGGAAATTCGTCCAACTCAACCTCAACTTTCTGTTCAACTACTACCTGAAACAGTTGAACTATGGTTGCCATGCGGTTGAAAAGAGTTGATCATTGATAAACGAGTGATTTCTTTCTTTTTAGGCGATTTAGCGCTTTATACATAGACGGATAAAAATTTTCATCGAAAGACTCAGCGCGTGTGGTAATTAAATTTAATTTAATCGACGGCAATGGATCCTTCCTCAGCAATTTCAAGTTTGATCATTTACAGTTTGGTAAAGAAAAAAAAAGGATAAGAGAAGGACACTTTGGAGTAAAGCATGACGCTTACGAAGACAGAGATTAGGCTGTTAGGAAAATTTATTGAGAGAACTGTTTGTTTTCATTTGTGCAATCTTTGACATAGAAGTTAAAAATATATAATTAGTTTTAATATTGGAAAAGTAAATTAGGAAAAAAAAATCACCATTTTGTTATAAATATATTCGTTGCATGCTGTATTAATTTCACTTATTATCATAAATTAAACACATAAGTAGCAATGGATTTTTATCTTTAGTTAATAAATATATTTTTAGATTATTCTTTACCTTTAGTCATATAGTACTTATTTTAAATTATTCAAATAAATTACCTTTAAGTTTTTCATATATTTAATAACATAATATAGCTTTTTGCAACTTACATTTACTATGTATATTTTACAACGGAGAAAACAAAATCTAATATAAGAGTAAAAATAAACAGTTATAACAAAATTTAGGAGTTTGATAATTTTTTGCACCAAATTAATGCAATTAATTTTTTTAATGTTGACTTTAAGTTCTTGAAAAATTATTAAAATAGTTTTTTAAGAGTTCGATAAGTATTATTATATATGTTTAGTGAAATACTCTAATTTGAAAAAAATTGTGCTATTTGTAGAAAATTAAAAGTTTATGTGAAACTGAATTTTAAAAAAAAGAAAGCTATTAAACGGCACTATTTTGTTAAAGGTTCAACATGAATAAACACAAACTATTCAAAAATTAGGAAAAACAAGAACTGATAAAAGTGAACAATTTATTCCAAAAGCAGTTTCGATTAATTTTTTATGAGCTCTTAAATGATATTTCCTGTGGTGGCGGGATGTTACATTCCAAATGTTCTCTTTTTTCTTCAAGAGTTCAATAAATGTGCTCTCCATTTCGATGCTCCATTTAAAAGTTTCTCCAACGGGAGCTTGTTCAAAATTTTGACTCATCTTTGCTGCAATACAAGTAAAAAAATTTATTAAGAAAGGTGAAGCAAATGTATTTAAGGCAACAGACAATAAGGAACAGTCATTAAAAATTACCAACCAATTAATTCTGTCAGCATATTGTTATGGTATGAGTAAGTTTTTTATTATCAGTAAAAACTGAAATAAATTTTTAATGGTTTTCCATGTTTTTATAATAAGATTAATAGAAAGTGAAATTAAAATTATGTATAATTACAAGGAGTATCAGTTACTTGTCCCATTTTTTCAAATATTTAACCTTAAGAAGAAGACTTCTTTTTTAGATAAATAATTTTAACTTTATCTTTAATTTCAAAAAATAAATTAATCTATTAAATTATGAAAAAAGCAGATATAAAAAGTACCTACATATTAGTATATTTAAAGTTAAACGTGTGTTAATACTTTTTTATTAAAAAAATTACATTGAAAAAACCTGTTAGGTGCTTTAACGGGTAAAAAAATATTTTCAACTTCCTTCATAATTTATTCAAAACCTGCTTATTAATAATATAAAGAATGCAACTGCATTTGAAAAATTGATCCTTACAGTCTATGTTATTTAAATTTCCATCTAATCTAATTTCATTAAATATTACTTTTTGAAAAAACCCTCTTTAAGTTTTTAATAGTAATACAAAATTACAGATACAAGTTTCTTCAACTTTATAAATATTAAAAACTTAATCATATAAAGCATGCAGATCTATTTGACAAACTTATGCTACACAATAAATTACATAAGATTAAATGTGAATCAATAAGTTTTAATAAAAACATTTTTTTTAAAAAAACCCACTTAGCGTCCCAAGTGGGTTTTTTCAAGGTGGGCCCACTTGTCAATAGAAAGTGCAAAGTAATTGGAAAAAAACAAATTTTTATTCCGCGAATACTGACAAATATACAGTTTAAAAATAAAATAATACAAAGAAATTAATTCTGTCAGCATATTGTTTAGGTATGAGTAAGTTTACTTTTTATAACGCAATTTTTTCCTTTGTAAAAAAATATTCAAAATCACTGAATTCAGTACCAACTCTAGAATAATTGCTGGTATAATCTTATCGGAACTATAGAAAGAGCAAAGTAATTGTAAAAAAAAAAAATATATTTGAATTCGGCGAATACTAATAAATATACAGTTACGTACGAAAAAGATTAAATGCAATTCATAAAATTTGTTTATCATTTAAAGTAATGTCAAAATATAAAACAAAACTACTTTTATGTACTTGCAAAATTTACTTCAGATTGGCGAATTTGGCGTAAAAAATCATACTTTTAATTCACGGTTAAAAACATAACACATTTATAACATAAACTTCTTTAATGGATAGAAACAGATTTATACTTCTTATAAAATAACTTTAAAATCAATACTCAATTAAAAACTCACCTGAATTAATATATAACAAATTAGATTCGCTGCTTTTTCACATAAACTTTGCCGCCATATTGTTTTGACTTGTGCTATCCCATAATCCCATGCGGTTGCTGCCACCTGATTGGTTGAATTGTGAAGTTGAATCAACTCTTTCGAAGAGATCTGAAAGAGTTGAACAGCAGTTGATCCAACTCGGATAAGTATAGCACACCTATGTTTTCGGACGGAGTTGTCTTCGGAGTTGAAGTTGAGGTTGAGTTGAAGGTTGAGTTGGACGAATTTCCTTAAGTGTGATATGGCCTTAGATACCAAAACTTTTAATTGTGTTTACAGTACAGTACACTTATAAAAACATTTGCAAAATTTTACATAAACATTATACACCTACAGATCCAAATATTTTTAAATTTTAAATTATATTATGCTATAAAAATTACTGCAAAATGATAAGCAAACATTGGTATAGATCCAAACATTTTTAAATTGCTAACAATATAACACATTAAAAAATCTTTAAAATATGAAAAAAAACGATATATATCCATTTCGCTGATGCAGGTAAATTCAGTTTTAAATTATTTATTTATTTTAATTTTTAAATTTTTTTATTCTTTTTAATAAAGACTAAAAAAAGTTAAAAAAAAGTCGACTTCATCGCCTGCACCATCAAAAAGAATAAGTACCCAATAAGCAATATTCTAATATTTTTAAATTGTTGATTTTATTGCTCTCTGAAAATGTCTAACAAAAATTGAACAATCATTATTATAAATCCAAACTCTCTTGAATTATTAATTTAAACGTTTTATTAAAATCTCTGCAACAAACACATTTAAAAATGTCTGAAATAGCGTCATTAAAAGTCGTAAACTCGCTTTGCGAGTTCACGAACTTTATACACTCTATTACAAAAAAAAATCGACGCACCAAGAAGCAATCATCCGATTGCTTTGAAATTTCGTATGCATGAATGTTTTGAACAGATATGGCTGGAATGATGCCGACTGGGGACGTATAGTCTTTAGCGACGAATCCCGCTTCCAACTGTGTCCTGACGATCATCGAAGACGTGTTTGGAGACGCACAGGGCAGAGGGGGGATCCTGCCTTCACTATTGCATGCCACACCGGCCCTTAACAAGACATTATGGTCTGGGGTGCCATTTCCTTTGGCAGCCGGACCCCTTTGGTCGTCATTAGAGGTACACTTACTGCACAGCGGTACGTCGACGACACCTTAAGACCTGTTTTGCTACCATCCCTTTTGCAGCGCCCTGGGCTGGTTTTTCAGCAGGACAATGCCAGACCACATACGGCACGTGTTGCTATGAACTGTCTGCAAGCTTGTCAAACTCTTCCTTGGCCTGCCAGATCACCAGATCTCTGTCTCATCGAGCATGTCTGGGATATGATGGGAAGGCGATTGCATCTGGCACGGAATGTTGATGATCTAGTTCGACAATTGGATCGAATTTGGCAGGAAATACCGCAAGAGAACTTTATCGGTCTATGCAGCTTGTGGCAGCTTGTATCCAGGCTAGAGGCTGGTCAACACCTTATTGAACTTGTTTCTGTAACTCTGCAATAAATTATTCAATTGTTCTGAAATTTTAATCATTTACTATTCTGTACATTGTCTTCCTATCCACCAATTTTCGTTTCAATCAGACAACTCCTTATTGGTGCGTCGATTTTTTTGTTATAGAGTGTACATCCCCACCATTCTGGATGTCCGAAAGACCCAGGCCCCTCAGACACGGAAACCACACAGCCGTCACCCAGACAAAGAATATATAATGTTATATATACTTATATATTCTTTGAACCAGAAGACGCATGTACTGTTCCGCGCACCTTGTGCCTAATCCTAAAACTCCACAGACCCACTAAGCTCGTCTGTCAGAGCTTGCTGAAAGGGAAAAGTTAGTGCATGGAAAAACCAAATACATTGAGATAAATTACTATTATTAAGAAATTAAGTTACAGATCAATATTTAAAAGCAGCATCACTAGGATAACCAAAATTAAAAATTTCAAATGGGTTAAAAATTTTACTGTAAAAATTACAGATCAGTTTTTTTCAAAAAATTTTTATGGAAAAATTTATTTTACTGTGAAAAGTTCTGGCCTAGTGAGTGCCGCTGCTTTTTACCGTGATTTTCCAGAAATTGTTTTACAGTGTAGTTATAATTCCAAACTCTTTTTATTTGTTAGTTATATTACATTTTAAGATTGCCTGCTAAACATTTACTTTTTCAGTTGTAATCGTCTCAAACCTTTCACTTAAAATATATATTTATACAGTAATTGACTTGGATAGAGTTCAAATCATTACTCATCGATAGAAAAGAAAAATGCAACACATTTTACGTTGTTCGACACATGTCTGTTCAAACTATTTCGGGAAACGCATATGGTGCTGTCAACGACACAAGATTAAGTCTAATAGATGGTTCTGTTTTGACTATCTTTCACTTAATACTTAAATACCTTTTTTTTTTACTAATCTCTTTCATCTGTTTCATTGAAGGATAGCAATCGACTCCATAATAACATACCTACGATCATAGTTAGTTGAAGATGAAGACATCTCTTCATAAAGATAATTTATTGTAATACTATTTTCTGCACTTGTAACCGCATGGTGCACAAAATAAAAACACGGAGCATTCTGAATATTTTTAATTTCATGATCAGATTTTTATGTACTCATGACTCATTCTTAATGGTTTGAGAATCTCACTTCAAATATCATAATTAATAAGTGCAGACGATATTTTATGTTACGATATTTTGAATTAAAATAGTCGTATATATAAAATTTGATAACTCAGAAACTATTCAACCCAGTGATCTCAAATGTTTCACTTTGTCATTTAAATGTACATAAAACTATACAAAAAAAACCTTAAAAACCAAGCAAGGAATTTTTTTTTGTTGTCTTTACAGTTTAAAAATTATAGCTAATACCGCAATAATTTGTATAGACGATATGAGACAGTATACGAAATAATCTAAAGGGTTTTTATTAAATAAGAAGAAAATTTTTAAATATTAAAACAAAATTATCTTATTGTTGCGTAGTTGACCAATCGTATAAATAAGTGCTTGTAAAAAAAGATTACGTAATCAAAAGAACTAGGTACCCTTTATTAAATTTTAAAGGGTGCATATAGAAAGGGGTGCAAATTTATAAAAAATTAGATAAAAATTGAATTATTAAGAAAGAAAGTGAGACGTTATGTTTTCTTTGAAGATAAGCATCTCTAACCATCAACAATCTTCTATTTTTATTCTTTTTTTTTTTATCGTTAACACTCTTCACTTCAACAATCTTTTTCATCCCTTTACTTTCTCCCTTTTTTAATCCAGACATTTCTTTTTTTCTCACTCTCCTTTAAAAACCCTCAAAAGTTAAAAGGTTAAGAGTAAGAATCCAATCAAATGCTAAAATAATTTTCAAAAAAGTGTAAAACTATGGCTATTAAATACATCTGCCCAAAAGTTACCCCACAATTGAGACTTTTCTCACAGTCGGGAAATATTAAAGGGGTTTGAAAATCTTCATGATTTACTAAGAAAAATTATTTATGTTCGCTAGTAAATCTTGATTGAATCTTTGATGCTCATCAAATTTGACTCGAAATAAATATTTAATTTAAAGAACGTTCGCACAAGCGTAATTTTTTATAATACGTTAAATAAATAGTACCTAGAAAAAAACTGTTCCACGCTAAGAAACAACAATTGTTGCGAAGTAAACATCAGGGTTGGTGAGCTCTAGTCTTAATAACTTTAAAGAGAAAAGAATTTAAGATTGTAACATAATAGTAGAGCAGAAGAACACAAATATATAATTTTAGTTAAACATTTCATGTTCTATAAATAAGCTCACATTTGTTTCCAAAAATATTATGATATATTTGAATAAAGAAATGTTTATCATTTAAAAAGTAAAATTTTACGTTTATTACAACTCGAAACGTCAGCAAAAAATATTTTTTGGCAAATGATGAACGAGCGACGAGTAAAATCACGTTGTTTGTCTGTTTATCTTAATCCTAACAAAAAAACAATTTACTGAATGGGAAGTTGAGTTTAAAAAGAAATCAATTAAATGAACAAAGGAAACGCTTTCGTTTCATTTCCTTTGCATGAAGTAAAAAAGAACAAAACTAAACTGATAAACTGATCACAACCTCTAAACACGAACAATTGAAGCGTTATTTTTTTTTCAGGACGAAATATATGGATTCATATTTATTGTTATCAATTTAAGGACAAAAAAACAATTATTATAAATTGATTTTCAGTTAGTAAATCACGACATCATTTGATTTCTTTTATATTATAAATATCTTTCATTTCTTAAGACTTTTATGCACTTTATGATCATTTGTTTGTGCCACTCAAAGCACTAAACAGTATTTGTTAGTAATAAATAAAAGCATAAAGAATTGTTTTCCTTTTTTCAAATAAACTTTTATGTTATTTTAATGTTAGTTATTGTAGAATTTATTACATACAAGGGGGCTAAGCCCCCTGTTCGCTGACGATCACCAACCCCGATGATTTACTATTTCTTGGCATAAAACAGTTGAAATTATTTAACTAAAAATATATATGTACTAAAAAGAACACTTGTACCGTCACTTTTCACGTTCAAATATTTTCCATATGATTCTATTAAGATCTATAACTGAACATAAATCATTTTTGTAAATAATCATTTTTTGAAATAGCATTTGAAATTGAAAGTATATTGTTATTAACAAATTTGGTGAGTTTCGCAACTGTAATTTAATATTTTTGCTTACCAAACGGTATTTAAAATACAATTTTTGCATTCATCACTTTTTTGTGAATGAAGTTGAAAGTTAAATTCTAAATCATTCAGCGAATCTCTTTAACAGTCTGTCATAATAAAATAATAATGTAATTTGCAACAAGAAATAATAATTGTAAAATGGTTAAAAAGAACAAACACCGATTTAAATAACTTTATCTTAAAATGTAAAGTAGAATTACATTATTCTAATAATAATAAAAACAATCCTCCTGAACTCTTCATTTAGAAATCAAACAAAATCAAAAACGTTATAACAACAGTACAGGTCATTTTAACTTTTAAATTGGGGATTCAAAAATATTTGTAGGAAAACAATAACTTTATGACTTGTATCAATTTTATGCCGATGACAACCAAACCAATATGAAAATTTATGTGGAAAAACTGGATCCTACCATGTGATTTTCCAGCCAATAAAAATGTATTGACAACAACTGCGACACCATTAA